TCTGGGTATTTATGGAACTGAGCAAATTCACAATCCAATAGTGGTAGGGAGATCAATCTTTGTTGATCGGTTCAAGCTCCATGTTGAACAGTAAAGGAGGGAACCATTTTGGATCATGAAAATTCATTATCTCTACCAAACATTTCTTCTCCTCCTCCTTATCTCATTCTCCTAGCCTTGCTTCTAAGCATTTTATCAAGTTTTAAAAGTATGATTCAGCATTTTGATGAAAAGATTATCAATACAAATAAAGCTTACATCCAATGGGATGAAAAGCATCAATAAATTATTGTACATGTAACAATATAGTTATGATATATCTGAATCTGGCAAATATTCATGAATCTCTTCTTTAGAGTCAGCTGGAAGATGAGCATGTTGAAGATTAATGCAATTGTAACAAATGGGAGTTGTTTTGCATTCCCTAGCATCTGGTCAGTTGCTCTGCTTTTTTCAAATGTTCTCAATTCCCTTGACAACATTAAATGAAATAACATGTCTGTCAAAGGAAGGTGAACTGATAAGAAGAAATATATCCTATTTGGAGATATCAACTAGCTAAGAGTTATCTAACAGAACATGAGGTCATAACTGATTCACTGGGTTAGGGAAAGGACAGCCTCCCAATTGCAGTGAATCATTTCACTTTCTTATTTGTAGTCTTTTTCTTTTGAAGATGAAAATTTATTTGTGAGAAGATCCAAGATTATGCAGTTAGAATGTACTTACAAATGTACTGGCCATTCTCAGGTAAAGAAATGCTATGTGTGTGTGTATATTTAAGCGGTGGGGAAGAGAGAGAATATTTTGACCTCTGCATTAAAGCATAGCATCCTTTCCACCTGCTTCTCTAACAGAGGCCTTGAAACAGACACCCACTACTTAACATATTACTGACAGGATGATGAGAAGGCTCTTGTCAGGCACAGGCCAGCTGGGTGTTAGAGACAAAATGCACAGCCCCAGCTGACTAGTTAGAGGAAATCTGGAGAGGTACAATTACAGAGGCATATGACAAGCCTTCATGCCTGACTGACTTGAGAACCAATGACATGGCATTAAACAGCAATCCTTTCCATACAGTGGTCACAGAACAGCAATAAGTCAACTGATGCACTGTTGTAAAATCATGATTTATTCCTTTGCTTTGAATACACAAGACTACAGCATGATGTTCTGGTAGAGTACCGCAGCAGGTTCACTTGGGGCCCAAACTTCTCAGGCCTGTCTACAACAGGCATAAAATCAATGCTCTGCCAGTGCCTTTCTGAAAATGCTTCTCACACTAGTTTAAGGAGAGGAAAAATACACTAAATTCATACCCACAAATATTAAAGCTATGATATTAATATCATAGCTTTAAAACGTACAACAGCCAAAGGGTATGTACATCTATTACGTGAGATGGCAACATAAAAAACATTATAAAATAAATGTTTTGGAAATATGCACATGACATGCATTCATTAATAGTTAAAGTGCTATTATAAAGTAAGAAATGCAAATATAGTGACAACCAGGAAGCTGATCGGTAGTGGAATTCTCATAACTTTTTAAGCGAAATCTGTTGTTTTCCACCAACACGGCCCTCAATGGTGTCAGACAGTTCCTCTGTTTAATTTTTATGCATAGTAAGTTTAATACTTTATTATCACAATTCAGTCTCACAGGGTTCCCAGTTGTAAAGAAAGTGGATTAGAGTATGGCAATTTTGCACTCCCACCTCCCTTCTCTCCCACTCCCCCCCAAAAGGAAAGCTTGAGAAGGAAAGAGCTTGAATTATGGGTTTTGAACTTGGTCCTACTGCCCTTAGATAGTGAACCAAAACTGAGCTGATAACACAGAGGTGACATCATAATTCAGTCTGCATGAACTGTCATAAACACTTGATATTAAGTTAACCTCCAAAGATAAAGTACAACTCCTTCAACAAAAGAAGGGAATTGATAACACTCTTACACAAAAGTAGCCTACATTAAAAAAAACCTCCTGGACTTATTAAGAAATAAAGGGAAAATTAATTCCTTGGTAAATATCTTATTTAAATATCCAAGATCTATACAAAACATTTAAAATAACTGACAATGTTAGATTTCAGTTTTATATGCAATATAAAATTTTCTGCTTTTACCTTTTCTAAAAAATGAGAATAATTGCATTGAAAACGTATCCATAGTTTATCAGGAAAATTAAAAATTTGCTTTTCTCCCCCAGGGGCCTCAGGTTATATGTGGGGTTGGCGATCAGCAAAAGAGAGTCCATTCTCCTTCTGCCCAGTGTATCTCTTGCTATTCTCCGAGCTGAGGATCATCCTCAAGGAATGTCCTCTGAGGTGAGATGGGATGGAGATAAGTCATGCCACAAATCAATTTCATGAACAGGAGAATTGGTGGCTACAAGCACCACCCTCTGCTTCTTTTGCTCATCCTCTCAACCTCCTGCCAGGCCAGGGAGTAGAAGTGGAAGATGTGAGAAGAAATAGGTCTTTGCCCATCAGACAAGATTCATAGGATTCGAGACCCAGCAAATATAGATTTCAGCTTGAGCGGGGGGAAGGAATCTTCTGCTAAGAAAAATAGAATTGCTCAAACAACAAGAAGGTGATAGAGGAGAAGGCCATGTGAACACTGGAACTACACAGATCATAGCCCTGACAGATTACCAGATTCATTGAGGTATCAAAGATTGTACAGCAAGATTTTGGTCACGAAAGGAGGAAAATGGCCTTTATAAATTGGAACTTTAAATAAAAAAAAAGTAAGCTGCCTTGACCATGGGCTATAAATGAGCGCATCCTCTCAAAATAGTTAAAACGGCATCTGTTGGAGTTAGCAGGGCATAAGGATGAAAATTTAGAGCATAAAGCTATTAGCTTATTTTAATGTAAGCTAAGAATATAATGGTTAGACTACACTGTTGACCACAAGTTGGTTACATTTGCAGGATCTTACTAGTTTAAACCCTGCTCCAGTGATCAAGGAAACAAAAAGATTAAGACCCCTTTAAATTAAAATAAATGTATTCATATAATATTTTGAAGAGTAAGAAAACGTTAAGGAACAAGAAAAGCATTTTGCCATTATATTCTCCAGATTTATGTAACTTCCCAGACTAGTCCACACCAATACCGATCAAGTGTGAGCTTGCTTAGCTTATTTTCAAAATCTGCCATTATTGGCCAGGTATTGCAAGTTATCATATATAATATGATACAGCTCCAAACCATGCTTCACTATGAAACTATGTGATCGGGCTTAGTTTTGGGGGAGGAAAATAAGGAGAAAAATTTGTGCCTCTGCCTACCAGCATCCATCGGTATTCATCTGCCTAGTGTTCTGTCAGTATGTGATAGAGTTGAAGGATGTTTGGAAACTGAAACATAGAAACTGAAACAGTATTTGCAGTGTGGAAAAGGGGACAGCAAGGAGCGTGGATGTGGCTTAGCTCACCTGTTCTGTACTAAAGCTGGTTGCTGCTGTGAATCTGAAACTCCTCTCCTTTGCTTGTGTTTTGCATTTGGAAGAGATTTCTTTTCAGGTGGGGAGGGGGAGTAGAACTCCTTAGCATCAGAGCATGTTAATAATAATATATGAAATACTAATGCACCTAGAAGCCAAGAAGAACATAAGTGCCAAATTTCAAGTTTGTAGGCTTTATGATTCTGGAGATTTTGTGATGATGCATGAGTGGTATTTTGCTTTTATATATATGGATTAAGTTGCTGCATTGAGTACACTAATAGTCCTAGCAATAATCTCACAGAATGACTGATGCTGTTTTGCATTTGATTCATTTTCAAAAAAATTCTTGCCATGCTAGCTGAAGAGAAGGAAAATGTCTCTTTCAACATCAACGCTGAAATTTGTGGCAATTTTACTTTCCCTACTAAATGGGACCTTTATTTCTCTTTTCTTTAAAAAAAAATAGACGAAGAGGAGTATGAAGAAGAGAAAATGCACTAGTTCTTCTATGCAATTTATAAGAAGCAAGTTACAATAATGCTATTCACTGATACAGCAGCTTGTTTTTTGGGGGGTGGGTGGGGGAATCCTAAGGATTTATATTCCACAAATAAAAAGCCAATGAATCATTCAAAAAGTTTTTTGAATTAATTAAAATTAATGTTTTTGCAATGGATTTATCTTCAAATGAGCATTAGTTTTTGAAAATGTTAACACATCCACCTTATTGTTAAGGAAAGAATAGAGACTCATATGGTTAAAGTCTCGTATTAAAGTATTAAGTAAAGCAAATGGTTTGAGGGAGTTTACTTAATTTATTTTTGGGCTTAAATTAAACAGACACTATGCAGATATAAATGATGCCCACTGGCATGAAGGCAATGTTATTTTCAACTTTAACAGTGATGGATTTAGAGTTATAAATGACACCACAAGGGAAAAGCTGAAACAAACAGGACTATCAAAAGATTTAGGCATGGATAAACACAGCACACCCTTTATCTCAGTTCCATCTGCAATGACACAAGCAAGCCATTTCAGCCTAGGCATAACTGATGTAATAAAGTATTTGGAATAGTAAGTCATTATCAGTGTGAAGAGCTGCTCAAATCAGAGTCATTACAGTATATCTTCCTCAAACACTACTAGATTTAGGATAGCAGCTATTATCATGGCCCTTTGATTCCTGTCTAGTAGGTCTGATGGAATAAGCTACAAGTGAATAATAAAGATCTTATAATAGCCCTTAAGAATTCTTTATAGGTTGGAAGGCATAGAAATCTAACTCTAGAGGGTTAAAGAACTCTCATGCCTGGGTAACAAAAAGTAATTAACCCGCCTTAATGTATTTGAGTAAGCCTATATCAATCAGATTTCCGTGCTTCAAGAGTCAGATTAAAATGTCATCTTTTAAAAAGAATATGTAGATATTGTCTTATAAGTATATAAGGGACATATTTAAATCTAGAGAGATATGCAAGGCCTTTTTGTGAGATGCTCAATATAGACTACTTGAAAAGAGATGTGTGAAGTACTCACAGTGCTTAGCTTGCTGGAGGTAATAATAATGCGTCTCTCGTGCAACATGCTGGCATAAAGTTGTAGCATGTTATTCACATCCACAGCAACAAAATATTCTGTAAGATTTCTCTAGTTAATGAAGAATAAAGTCTGTTAACACATTAATAAAGAAAACTGAATGATATATAAATTTATTTCTGCCTAGTTAAAAGGGAAAATAATATTTTTAAAGAAATGTCTCCTTAATAAGTATTTAACTGAAATTTATCTATTATCGTTTGTATATTTTGAAAACATGTCCAAGAGTAATCTTATATTTTCAGAAAGGAGCCTCTTTAATTGCTTGTTTTTGAGTTTACTGTGTATCTATAACTATTTATTTAAAATTCTAATTATATATACATAGTAAATCCTAAGTAAACCCTTGCATTCATTTTAGCTAAATTAGCTGCAAAAATGCAGTACAATCATACACCCACTGCTGCCCATACATATGCACACATTATCCAAAATATCCAACATTATTACATTAATATTTAATTATGCAGTCCATATATGTCAAGGCTGTCAAACTCCTGGCCCGTGGGCAGGATGTGTCATACACTGGCTACGCCCACCACCAGTTTAGCAAAGAGGGAAAATCCAGATATGTCATGTGATGATATGACGACGTGAGTTTGACACCCGATAAAGGTGAATGAAGCCATATTAATGAGGGAGTTTAATCAATAAGTATTCAGATTTCTACAGATGTTTGTTAAAGTTTTAATTTGTAAAGCTATTTAAATATTGCAAATATAGTACAAACTTACACTTTCAGGAATAGTTGGTAATCCAGTTAAATCAGGAGTAATAAAATACGAATGCTAGTCAAGAAAAAGAAATAAAAATACAAAATTATTATTCAACAAGACAAAATCATTATAAAATAATACTGTCTGTATAAGCAACTAAATTTTAGATCTGCTTTGAGAGGACCTATTATTAATAATCAGAAGCACCAGATAATTCAACCCATGTTGACGTATCCATTAAAAAAAAAAACTTCTGCTGAAATCATGCTATAATGTTTATTCTGCATACATACTAAACAGATTTATGACAGCAGCAATGCAAAAGAGGATCAGAATAGCTTTGCACAGTAAATCAAAATGAAAGCATTTGAAAGAGATTAAAAGAAAAATACCCTTTAGTTTCTCTGACACATACTACCATTCTAATTATTAACTAGTTTTATTGGAAACTGGATTAATGGAGATGTGTGCTACAATAAAAACATATCCAGTTGCTATTTTCTTATCTTTAGAGTGACACATATGTAGAAGTAAGGAAGGGGTATGTGATATTCCTCACAAAACTTAATGTTATTTTGGGGATTATAGTTACTGACCCTTAGCATGTATGGTTCTCATTGTGAAACATTTATGAGTAGTTATTTTTTTTTAACAAGATGTGTTATCCATGGTTTTTAAAAAGAAATGAGAGGTAACCAAACAGAGGTTTTTATAAAGGAGTTTGAAAAAAAAGCTGTCCACACTCATTTGGGATATAATTAATAGCCTGGAAATGATCCTTCACTCTACTGTTTCTCATTCTGAAAATCTCACAGTGACAAAATGGTTAATACAGAAAAACATAGGCTGTTTTCAACTTATGACCATAATTGGGATGGAATTTCTATCTTGTCGGTGCAGTTGTAAAGTAAGGCATCACATGACAGGACTCAATGTTGCAACCATTTTTGCCATGGTCACTAAGCAATTCACATGATTTTTAAGCAAATTCAGCTTCTCCAGTTGACTTTGGTTTTTAAAAGCCAGCTGGGAAGGTGGCAAATTACAATTGTCATAAATGCAAGTTAGTTGCCAAATGCCCGAATTGTGATCATGTAACTGTGGGGAATAACATGATTGTCATCACTCTGAGGACCAGTCATTACTTTTTCAGAGGCCATCATAACTTTGAACCAAATTTAAACAAATGGTCATAAATCACGAACTATCTACATTAACTAACTAGGCTTCTCAAGGAATACCCAAACTTATTCAAATAAACGTACATTTGTTTTAATCAAAAAAGCAGAAAGCAAGCAAATGGAACTAAAAAAGAGGGTTGGAATCCTATAAATAACCCAAATTAATAAGGGTTTTTTTAAAATTAAGATATATTTCACTACCAACATAAAGTATATTTTATGAATACTACTACAGAGATAAAGAAGGGAAAAACATATTATCTCTCCCCCTATGTTTGCAAGAAATAATTTATATTTATGGAATGACTGATATTGGATTACATTATTCAGAATGTTACATTCAGAATGTTGTGCTTTTAACAAGACAACATAATAGCTTGATATAAAAGCTGATTGAAGCAAGATTTGATCAACTGAGAGTTCTGAACACCATAGGTGCTTAATATAGAAAAAAAAATCATTTCATTTCATTTACTAGTTAAAATTTCAGAATGTCCTACTTTTGTTCTAACTCTGGGCGATGGGAAACCTTATTTTAAAATAGGAATAATCCTGATTGCCATGCAGCTCTGTTTTCAACTTTACTGCACAGCACAATCTATATTCTAGTAAAACTCTTGTGTCCATTTACCTGCTTGTAACCTTTAACTGGGAAAAAAAAGCATCATAGTACACAATTTTTTTGAACCAAGGCAAGTCAAATGGGTTAACTCATGAAGGTTAGGACCCATTACTCCCATGGTAATGGAATTTTGGGAAGTTGTGGCTGATACAGTGCCTCCACATTGCCATGGTCAATTATTGTCATTTCCAACGCTCCCTGACAGCTTCCCACAAGTTAATAGGAAAGCCAACAGGAAGCATAAACTCAGTCATGATTGACCACCACGTCTTTACTTATGGGAAACCAGAAAGGAATGTTTGTAATGAGGAAGCCAGAAAAAAGGTTGCACATTGCCTAGATAGGTCTTCTCCACCTGCACAATTTCCCCAGCCCCTCAGCACTTGCATTGTGCTAACCATTTGAGCATCCCCATGGATCTTTCCTGACCTATACTGCGTCCTTATGTGCCTTTCAGAACACTGGTTTTTATTAGCCTTTGGGCTGATGTTTGCTAGTGTTTTCACCAGATTTAAAGTCTGCTCCTCTAGCACGCAGGACAATTTTCTTCCCCTGAACAGATGGGAGGAGAAAACCTTGCCATACCAAGGTAACAGACCTCAAATTCTCCATTTCCTGCACTTGAAACCTTCCTTTCCAATTCCCCATTGTCCTTCTAGTAATCACATGATTGCAGGGCACTTGACAACCAGTTGTAAATGTGAACAGATTGCTAAGCCCCTGAAATGTGGTCACATGGCTAGAGGCCCAAAATCATTTACAACAGTTGGCAATTGTTTACATTCCATAAAGCATCTGTTCTAATACAGTCATAAGGGCAAACTCATAAAATCACTGGTCATAAATTGAGGACTGTCTATATGTTTAATCTGATCCATTGGCTTGTATCCTTGGGTTTTTACCTCTTTGGATTATTTCCTATTGCTAAACCCTTTCTTTGCTTTTTGGCAAGATGTAATTTAGAGAGATTGGTTTTATAATCATTGAAAAGCCAAACATTCAATCTGCTGAACAATTATCATGAAAATGACACTGAAATATAATGAAGATGTGATGGGAAGACATTGCTCACATACTTTTAACAGGGCCATCTGGAAATATATTCAGTGAAAATAATACCGTTTGATTCTTAGGCTACTAAGATCCCTTCCCTGACATACACAAACAACTGAAATAGAGAAAAAAAACATTCTCTGGATTTTTTTTTAATAAGCAAGAGGTATAAGAGTAAACTATTGTCACTTTATTAAATATTAAGACCCTTTTTAGTAGGCAATTTACACATATAGTTCCAAATCTGATAATATATATTCTTGGAAAATATATTCAAGTAGTTTGCCTCTCTGTGACCAGAGTCATAACATAGTAATTTCTCAAGAGGCATTTATAAATCTCTTGCAATCAATAGACATCATTTGGCAAGCAATGTTTTAAGGACTTGAGAAGAGTATTTTGCACTTACTATTAACATATATGGTTGAGTATTCAAAATGTGCTCACTGGAGAATACTTTTTTGTTATTTTTCCAACAAGATCAATCAATTCATTTTTGAAGAAAGGCTTATTTGGTTTTTTAAAATGTGTTCCTTTCTAAATAAATTTGCCTCTTCTTTTTTTTTTAATAAAGTTTTATTTGGGTTTTCACACACAAAATACAAGTAAAACATCTTTTTTGAAAATAACATGGTCCCGGGTTGAATTTCTTTATACAGACACAAAATTCAATTTCATGCTCCTTTTTGTATTCTATTCCATATCTTATACTATTTTACATTTTCTATATAGTTTTTTCCCTCTTTTAATTTTCTCAATTTTATTTTGATTACCTCATCTCAATTCAAATCATTATATTTATACTTTTGTCTGTTCTGTTTCAATTTCATATTATCTTTTCTCATTAAACACATTTTCTCCTGTAGTTACTAATTGGAGTATGACACCTTTATATCTTTTAATTACATCCATTCAACTCTTATTTAAACTTCAATATACACCTTAAGTTTATGACCTTCAATATAATACATAATACATAACTTCCAATCGAATTCTGCTTGGCACATTCTTATAATACACACTATATTCTTTAAAAACAAAAGAAAGATTGTAAATATATGTAATTATAAACCCTCATTCCATTCCAGTTCAGTTCTATCATTAATAATTATTAAAACCATAACATCTTTAACACTTCTTTTCAATTAAATATCATACTTCCTTAAAAACACATGTAATCTCCATAATTAATTTTTCCCTTATTTCTCTTCACATACGTTTTATAAATCATTAAATATACCTTTTGTTACATTTATTTATTGACAAGCATTCCACTGAATTACGATAGCTATTTTATCAGACATTTTAATCATACATTGTTTCATATTTTCTAAAATTATTTCTGCTTCTAATATAACCATAGTATTTTATGTACCTTTGCAGAATCCCTTTTTCCATTCAGTTTTCACCCATTATCTCTAAATAAACCCTGTTTTTCTATATATTTTGCTTCTGTCCTTTATAACTTCTTTTCCTTTCTTTCTTCCCTCTCATCTTCTCCCTCCCCTTTTTACCCCCTTGTCTCTCTAGTTCTAATTCTCTCTTCCACATTTCCCTCTTCTGTTGCTTTCTGATTTTATACTTATTTTTCACTCTATTTTTTTTTTGGAGTTGTTTTTCCCAATCTTAAACTTTCCATTCTCTTTCTCCCCTTTCCTTCCCCCCCCCCATCTAAGATTACTTGTTCATTAAAGATGGTTTCTTCTTTGTTGCAATCTTCTTGTTCTGCAGGCATTTCTTGTTGTTTCTCATAATTCCAAATCTCTATTTCTAAAAACTGAAATACGAAGCCAAAAGAACCTCTCCCTTCTTGTGCATCTTCTTTGTACTTTTTAAGTTCCATTTTCAGTTCTTCTAAAAATAGAGCCATTTTAAAAAGTTTTAAACAACCACCCGATTGATTTAGTCATTCAAAACAATAACCAAGAATCCATAAATCATCAAGTAATCCAGATAGTCCCGAGTTATATCTTCTTATTTCTTTTTTGACTTTCTCTTCCTGGGGTTTTTGTTGCGATGTTTCAGTTAGAATGTATCTTTTGGAAGTCTTGTTGAGATTTTGCAGTAAGTTCTTTTTTAATTCCAGGCAGTCTCCTCCCTTCCAGATCCTGCCCTTTTATTCTTCCTCTCTCCTTTCCTGTTTTCAAAAGCTTTTAATTATCCAGAAATCTTTATTATCCCTTTGACTTTTTATTTTCACCATTAAATACCTATTGATGTCAAAGTGGATTTTTTTCCAATTTCTTGCTTAAGTCTCTTAGCTGTCAGTATAGGAAAAGGAGAAAACCAAATCTTTTCCCTTTTCTCTCTCCTTCGCAGCTTAAAAATCTTCTTAGGGAACAATGTTATTGTTTTTTAACAGTTTCAATTCCAATATCTTATTTGTTGCTTTTGTTGTTTGACCCGGTCAACCAAAACTTTCTCTTCTTATCTTCCTCTGCACATTCTTTTCCAGTCACGTTCTTCTTTGTGGTGGCCATTTCTGACCACCACTGCAACTGCCTTTGGGAAAGGGAGTAATGGCCAGCTGGGGAGGAGAGATGTGGCTCTCCTCAACCCTGCTGTCAGTCTCCCCCCTCTTCACCTCCTCTATGGGGTGGCTTAGCCCCGAAACCAGCCGGCTCGGGGCACTCCAGCAGCGAGCACGGATCGAAGCCTTGCAGAGATGAGGTTTTGGTCTATCGCTGAAGAAGCTCAAACCAGAAGTCCCGAATTTGCCTCTTCTTTTTAACACAGGGCTATTTCATCCGTTCATGCTTCTCCTTTCAAATCATGTACATTTTACTTTTGTTTTGCAGAAGAAAAAGTAACAGGATTTCCAAAGAAGGAAATGTTGTTAAAGCAACAAATGGCGTGGTAACAAAAATAAAATACATATTATAATTATTGATAAGTACTGTAAGCACTTATTGCAAACAAGCTTGAAACTACAAAATGCTTGAAACTACAAAATGCAAACAAGCTTGAAACTACAAAAGGGGGCTTTTAAAAACTTTTTAAAGGAATACTCTCCTTCATTAATACATAATTATATACACTGCTATGTTAACTTTAAATTTGCAATAAACAATGTCCAGATTGTTGCTCTTCCAATCTTCTAGTAACGTAATGATTGTATTTATCATGGGGGGGGGGGTTGTCAGTAGAACCAATCCCATATCATTAGATTAGATTTTAAAGAGAATGAGAATTCTAAAGACAGATTTTTTTTGTTTCTATCACCAATATGCCTATTTGCAATCTTCAATATAGGTTTATGTGCCTTCTATCTCAAAATAGCAGGAAACCAATTTTCAGCCATTATGATGAGGAGTTTCAGGGGCTGAAAAAATAAAGACATGTGAGCTGCAAATGAGGTTCTGACACTGTAGGTTGTCCATCTCAGTGTAAAATCAATTTTTAAAAAATATTTTATCCCCACTTTTTTCTCTTCAAAGAATTCAAAGCAGGAAATGAGTTATGAGTTTCATCTACAATAATTAAGTCTTGTATCATGAATTGCTTCTGGGTAGAAGGCTTCTAAACAAATATCTGATTTCATGCTAATTCATCCAGTAAACTGGTTGGCTTTCAATTTCAAAAACCTTTATTTCAAAAACCTGATATCAATGTGTTAGCAAAAAAAAAAAAGATTTCAGCTTTGCATTCAAAGTCCTAGAGAAAGCGACAGAAAGCATAAAATATATTTATGGGGGATCAAATTAGTTTATTCTAGACTGATTGCAGTTAAAGATAGCATCCCAAGTACCTTTCAAAGCATTTTTATAATTTAATAACTAGTATAACTTTTCACATAATACTCTTATTAAAGAATTTGTACATCCATCTGTACAAACTATAAGTACTGGTAATGACCTAGCTTTAAGTGTACGGAATGCACTATGCAAAGAATAATCATCAATTACATGTATTGTGTGGTATTTGTTAAAATTAAGGCAAAAGGAAAAAGTAAACAGCACATTTAAGAGACACCAATTCCTTGATCCAAAACTACTGTATTTTGGGTATCAGAATATTTTCTAAAACTAAAATAGGTTAAAGAAGTATAATGGCACACTTACTAGATTAATATCATTTCTACTGCCAATGTCAATATTTGGACCTTTGCACTGGATCCCCAAATTAGAGGTAATGCTGTAGTACATAGACACTATTCAATCAAATAAGTTGGGTTTAATTTATTCAGAAGCTTCATTTGAGAACAACTTAAGAGCTATTGTAAACTGTTTCTATTTCATCAGAATTAGTTAGCAAAACTGTATTTAATATGTGTTTTATTTCCTGCTCAGTCGGCGTCTCTTGTAGTACAGTCTTTTAAACTTGATCCATTTACCAGCTACTCCTCCAAGATTATATGGAAGAATAAGCACAATGGAACACTCCATAATAATAATCAACATATTTACTGTTAAAGTCATATCTATAAAAAGAATTTTATGGGAAAACCCAAATTCACCACTACTTACAGAGTTGACCTATTATATGATCCAGCTCAGGGGTGGGATTCAAATTTTTTAACCGGTTCTGTGGGTGTGGCTTAGTTGGTGGGCGTTGTTTGGTGGTCATGTGACTGGGTGGATGCGGCTTGGTGATCATGTTATTGGCTGGGTGTGGCCAACTCAATATCACTCACATTGAGGCACGCATCTCCTCACCTGGCCTCTCATGACTGTGGGGATGCTGCAACGGTCATAAGTGTGAAAAAGGGTCATAAGTCACTTTTTTCAGTGCCATTGTAACTTTAAATGGTCACTCCACACAAGCAAAGTATCAGCAAAGGACAGAAAAAAATTCCAGAGAAGTTTCTGAGACAGGAAGTCTAGTCCTGCCAAGAATGTAATAAGAGTTAATGGAGAGGCAGTTTCTGCAAGCAAAACCAGAATGTTTCCTTCCTGACTTCCTTACAGGATTAGGCCAGTAATTTCTTCTAACAACCGGTTCTCCAAACTGCTTAGAGTGTTAACAACTGGTTCTAGCAAATAGCTGTGAACTGGTAGAGTCCCACCCCTGATCCAGCTGGGACTCATCTTTAATATTTTAATTAAAATTCAACTTTCTATAGTAAAAGCCATACTTACCAAATTTAAGCTGATAGGAGTATTTGCCTCTGGTACAGAATGGTTATACCATGTTTCTAATATATCATTCAAGTCACCTTCCTGTGAAAAATATTTTTTTTCAAAAATATATTCAATAGACACAAAAACTTCATTTGCATTCACTGTATATCAAGAGCAAAAATAAGTACAATCCCTTTCTAGGCAAACAGAAACCATCTCATTTTCCTTCATTCTCAAGTGGACATATGAAAAATTCCATGGTTAGTTGGTAAAATACTGTAGTCTTTCCATCTGTTAATCAAAGCTTTATGGATTATGATTGTATTTATAATAAAGCATATTCCTGTATTAACAAGCAAAGAAAAACATTTTATAAAGCAATGCATAAAACTATGAAACAAACATTGGTACAAAAATGCAACAACATTGGTACAAAATAAACAAATGAATAGTACAAAAAAAATAACAGTAATATAGGTGGAAAGGGCAACCAAATCATATAAAAACCAAAAAAAATAAAGTATGTACAGCACATGCCAGATTTCTTTATTTCCAGGACAAAGCTTTTTAAGAAACTACAAAATCATTGAAAAACTGTACAATATAATGAGCACTGTATGCGCCCAATTTAAAAGCTTTATAGCCAAGCACTACAATCTAGATAAAGCAGAAATAAAATGAAAATATTATCTGATATTAAATATCAAGTCCATTGTCTCACTTAAAAAAACAGATTTTTTATAAACTACTATAGGGCCCAACGTGTCTCTTTTGATAGGCAATCAACAAACATCAATACATTCCTGAATGATGCTCAACAATCTGATAATGGCCCTAAAATTATCCCAAACTATCTAAATTACTTTTAAAAACGTAGGCCTTCCTGGAATGAACTCCAGGAAGGGCTACACTTTTTAGAAAAAGGGCTATATAAGCCTATTCAAGAGGTATTGGAGGTCCAACCTCCTGCTGAAGCAGAAGACATTACACATTTCAGACAGGTAGCTGACCAATCTCTTCTTAAAAGCCTCCACTGGTAGAGCACCCAAACTTCTGAAGTCTTGATTTCTATTTTTACAGTTCATCTATTTCCAGTTTTACAAATAACTGGTTTCTTCCCCAATAACACAAAGTGTCTTATAATAAGTCATACTAAGCATAAACAAAGGACAATCATTGAATAATATTATCCCTATCAATATAAATTGTGACGCTTTCTTGCATTTCTTTAGCAAATTAATTTAATGTTTTGTAGCAAAGTATTAAAAGTGTCCACACTCAAGTTCTACCCAGGGTGTAATCCTGATATATAATTTTTAGCATAGAAATGTCATTCAATTTCCCTACTTAAAAAGGTTTTTAAATTGTTAAACTATTCATTTTAAAGAAAAGTAACAATAACAGTAGCCTAAAATGTATGTAATTCTTGAAGTTGTTTTCAAAAAAAAGGGACTGCTACCTTAAAATCATTGACGATTAGCAGTTTTTCACAAAATCATTTCTATTTAATAACAACAAAATTACCTGCTCTTTAGCTAAATATTCCGCCAGTGTATTTAAAAGTTTGTAGTACATCTCAAACCATGGCAAATAGCTGAAAAGACAAATAAAAACAGCTGTAAGAGAAGGAAGCATTATTTAAAAAGTATTTCACTGTAATGCGTTTTTTGAAAAACCTTAAGCAAATTTGATACCAAAGTGGAAAATTCACAAGAAAATATAACTCTGAAAATATTTCAAACCACAAAGAAAGAAGCAATGTTAAAAAAATTATTCTGACTACAATTCAAGTTTTGACTACAATTCAAGCAACTTCTCTCTGTGGGAAAGCAACAGTTCTTATCTATCTAGCTTACATGACATTGACAGAGTTAGTGCACTGGGAAGTATTGGCAGGAGAAAATTCAATCTAGACCTTATTCCTGAAACACTCAGAAAAGTTAAACAAATTCAGAGCAATTTCCTTCTTTGTCATTTTTCAAGTATTCTGATATTTAGTGGAATGTTTAATTAAATATGTTATAAACAGTATCAGCAAACAATCAAAGATAAATATATCCTTAGTCAGTACTCCAAACTATAGTCAAATATCCTGCTAATACACTCATTTAATCCACCTATAGTCCCTTTTAACCCCATCAGTCAGGGTTCAAGAATAGGACCTTCTTTCACAGCAATGTGGATTTTTCTGTATTTGTCCAGTGACAATAAATCCAAGACTGTAATTTCAACAGAAGCCTGAAGTTTCTTCTCTCTCTAGAACACATTAATGGTTATCTTAAATTTGCTTTAGAAAAATCTCATTTGTAACTAAATACTTAAAAATTTCTTTTTAAAAAATAGAGTATATTTTGAGCCTATTTTGTTTTAATTCTCAAAGAATATTCACAATATTCAATATTCACCATCTTTTAAAAATCTGTAATTTCAACCTTTTTAAAAGATCAAGGTTCCATTTTACAGTTGAAATGTCTCAACAGCAACCTTAAACATTTTAAAAAAAACATTTTAAAAATGGTATGTGAATACTTATGAAAAATTATGGCTAAAACTATTATAATGTACCTTCAACCACACATTTGTGCCAATATTTTCATATATAAAATCAGGATGATCATGCATTCACGAGGCCATTATGAAAAAAAAATGTTTTAGGAAAAAAAATGCACCAATTATTTACGTACAAGGATCTCTGCAAGAGAGAGTTACACTAGGCAAATGCGTACTTCCTCTGTTAGTTATTCCTCGTATAAACCACCATAATGTCGAACAATGCTTCTGGAAGCCCCCTCAGTCAGATATTTTGTCATACTTCCTCCCCTCATTTCCCCAAACCACATGAATATTTTTTTTTATTGTGGAGCTTCCATCCATTCAACTGCATAAAGATACAATACACACAAATTCTTTCTGAAAATCTGGTTGCAAAGACTGGAATGGGATGAGTTGAGACACTTATATGATAACTCATAATGAGGAGCACAATTAGAATTTGAATAAATTTAAGATAGATATTACTGAACCTAGAGAAATCTTTACTTTAGAAATAATCACACAAAAGCCAACTCACAAAACTGGTTCAGGTGGTATGTAGAAATTTCAGCAGGTTAGCAAAACTTTCAACAAATTTGCTACCCACTATATCAAACCAAAAGTTGGAAATAGCATCTGCAAAATCATGGATATGGTCGTGTATTCCTTTTAATCTCATTAGATCCTACCCAATGTAGTCCTTACCTGTTATATAAACAACACCCGATATTTCATTACTAATTAAAAACATATTTAACATATTCTTTTAATCCAGTGAGCTAGCAGACAGGCATTCGAGCCTTCATTCAAAGACAGTCTTCAGCTTTGTTGCACAAGGTCGATTTCCAGCTCTCTTGCACTTCCACTACAATTCTGATAAAGCTTTTATATTCATAAGTCAAAGGTTAAATAAAGGAAAGGAAATGTTTTCTGTCAAACAGCCAGGCAACCACTAACAGTCCTGAACTATCAGCAGGAATCTTAACTTCTAGTATTCAAATAAAACTAAGGAAACCGCCTTTCCGTAGCTAAATGTCTTAATGTCTGGGGGCTACTTTCTGTCTGGAAAATTGACACAAAATGTGTAAAATTGAAACATTCTGTTTTGGTGGATTTGCTTGAAGTGGAGGATGGGGTGGGGAGGCTTCAAATAGTCTAAGATAAAGAACTACAGTACAAAGACTTCCAAATAAACCAATCTATCATATTTTAAAAATAATTTAGAAATCTAAGATATTATGTTATAATAAATTTTCATTAATCATTTTTATTTAAATGATGACATAGCAATTTCTCAAAATGCAATAAGTTTAACAGCTAAATACTACTAATTATACCAGTTCAATTACTGTAATGTAAGAGCACCATATTAGAACTATTGGGGGGCAGCACAGTGGCGCTATAGTTAAGACACTGGGCTTGTTGTTGTTGTTGTTGGCAGGAAAGCTGGCAGCCCAGGTTCAAGACCCGAGCTCTATAAGACAGTGTGAGTTTCCATCCTCGCCCCAGTTCCTGCCAACCTAGCAGCTTGAAAGCATACCAATGCAAGTTGATGTATAGGTATGTACCACTTTGGTAGGAAAGTTACAGCACTCTCTGACATCCTACTGGCCACATGACCATGAAAATAATAGAATAGGATAGGATAGGATAGGATAGGATAGGATAGGATAGGATAGGATAGGATAGGATAAGATAGGATAGGATAAGATAGGATAGGATAGGATAGGATAGGATAGGATAGGATAGGATAGGACAGGACAGGACAGGACAGAACAGAACAGAATAGAATTCTTTATTGGCCAAGTGTGATTGGACACACAAGGAATTTGTCTTGGTGTGTATGCTCTCAGTGTACATAAAAGAAATGTCATCAAACAGTGCTAGCTCAATGGCCTTGATATGGAGATGACCACCACCCCTTATAATCAGTAATGACTAGTGGAGTAAAATTCACAGGGACTCCTTTACCTTATATTAGAACTATTAGAAATATTTCTATCTGACTTTCTTATACTGTTAAATACCCAAGTCAAACAAATTTCAAAAGTATAGTGTTTCATGCTACTGAAATTTATAATGACATTTATAAATTTATTATGACCACAATTGAGCCTGGAATTACAATTATAAATTTTAACAGTTGTTAAGCAGGTGTAGTAGAATTTGATGCAGACCAGGAGGGAGGGAGCCAAGAGGAAAATGAGCCTGGAACCCTTGATATACATGAAAAGGCTCAGAGTGAACCCTCCCTAACCTTTCACATGTATATAAAAAAGGTAGATTGAGCTTTAGTAAGATTAATAGTGTCAGGCACAAGGGACCAAGAATGACAGAATTTACTCAGAATCCTTTCTTTATTATTGCTTGCCCATAGAAGGAATTTCAGCCGATGAGCATTTTTTGCCAGAAACCAGAAGTAAAAAAAAAATGCTGAAAATTGTGGTCATGTGACCGCAGGATACTGAAAATTGATATATTTTTATTTATTTATCCTTCCTATATTATTTTTTACAAATAACTCAAGGTGGCAAGCATATCCAAAACCCCTCCTTCCTCCTCCTATTTTCCTCATAACCTTGTGAGGAGGGTTTACCTGAGAGCCAAGGTTGCCCAGCTGGCTTTCATGACTAAGGAAGGACTAGAACTCACAGTCTCCTAGTTTCTAGCATGCTGCCTTAAGCACTGAACCAAACTGGTGCTCTGCAAATGCAATCATGAGACTGTGGCTGTCAGAACTTCAAAACTGGGTCAAAAGTAGCCCTGGGGAAATATGATATAGCTTTGAACAGCTGACCTGTCATAAATTAAGGACTCCCTATATTAAAAACAAAGTTTGATATACTGTAGTTTTTTTATGCTGAATATTGAAAGACATGAAATAAAGTTTTGTGGAGGCCCTGACAATGTTAGAAATGTTGGCTGAAAATTTGCATGGGAAAAAAATTGAGAAATTTCAAATGAAATAATAAAAAAAATTACATAGCGCTCATAAGTTCTATCAACCTTTTTGAGAGAACCAATTTTCTGTTCATTTGTAATATAATTTAGTTTTCATAGGTAGAACGAGGAACAATTACGTTCACCTAAAATAAGCATTGGTAAATTTACCTGAGAACGCCCTTTCTATCTATGCTGCTAGAGAGCCCAGGATGGGTATGACTCCTCCTGATGATATCATCAAGCTGGGTCCGTCTAGTATAAAAGTAGCAGCCTGTGGGAACGCCCCCCCACAGCTTTGGCAAAGATACTTGACAGACATTAGTGAGTGTCTCTGAAAGCCAAAACAGAACCACGAACCATAATATACCTCACCACAATTCAGATGCAACAAGGGAGGGGCTGGGCTCTCTAACAGTATGGATAGAAAGGACGTTCTTGGGTCAACCAACACCCATTCTTCTCCATGCTGCTGCAAGCCCAGGATGGGACATACCAAAGCCTTCATGTCCTTGGGAGGGTCCTTGTCTAGTCTCTCACTCTAAAGTAGGCACCAATCGCTGAAGAACCCGTCTGCCAAAAGCAGTGCTTGTGGAGGCGTAGGAATCCAGGTGGTAGTGTCTGATGAACGGAGATGGGGATGTCCATGTAGCTGCTCTACAACTCTCCTCTAGGGGTGCCTGGGTGGCCCAGGCAGCTGAAGTTGCAGCACTTCTAATGGAGTGTGCTGTCAAGCCGTGTGGTACCGGCAGAGCTTTGGCTTTGTAGGCCTGTGCGATGCAAGCCCTGATCCACCTGCTTAAGGTGGCAGGAGAGGCCTTGTTCCTCCAGTGGGAAGGGGAAAAGGATACAAACATAGCCTCTGTCTTCCTAAACATTGAAGTGTGTTTGATATAAATTCTAAGAGACCCTCTAACATCTAAGATGTGCCATTTGCGCTCTAAGGCGTGGTGTGGACGGGAACAAAAATCAGGAACCACTATGTCTTGGGATCTGTGGAATACAGAATTTATTTTGGGTACAAAGGTAGGGTCTAAACGAAGAACGCTCTATTGTCGTGAAAAGTGCAGAGGTCCTGCCGTATAGATACAGCAGCCAACTCTGACACCCTTCTAGCTGAAG